AGCTTCAGACACCCCACCGCTCGTTGACGCAGCGAACGTCACAGTGAACGCCACAACATCAGCCCAGCATCATGTGTCTCACTCGTTCACTTTATGATTTGACATACAAGTAATTTGAGTTATGGGCTCCATCATGGAACGAATTAAACTCGTAAGTCAAGGTCCCACTGTATTTTAAAGTCTTTACCAGGAATATCTTATAATGCACCTTACCAAATCAAATTTAACTTTAACTACAAAATGTCGGGCTGTTCACATTCCCATAAATGTCACCCAAGAATAGTAAAATAATAACTCTAAAGTTTATGCAAATGAGATTCAGTTGGTTGGAGCATGGTCCAATACATTGAAAGGTCACAGATTTGATTCTCAGTCAGGGCACATACCCGGGTTTTGGGTTTGGTCCCCCGTGAGGGTGCATATGTGAAGCAGCCAATCGATGTTTCTCTCTCACATTGATCTTTCTTACTCACTGTTTCTCTCTCCCCTTTCCTCTCTCTAATATCAATAAACATATCCTCAGGTGAGGATTATAAATATATATACTATATATATATTCCACAAACACTGTTGTTCAGAGTTTTAAATATTATCTTTTGATGGTTGTTATATAGTCTCTATAATATTACATTTATTTAACTTCTTAGAAATGCTCCTTGCTTTTGGAAAATCTCAAAGAAAATGGAAAGGTGGAAAACATATTTAAAAATCTAAACTCAGTTGAAATACACTAGTAAATAGTTAATGTTAATCATCATAATCACCATGGGATGTCTTTAAATAGTCTGTTTTCAGGAGACATTTAAAAGTGTGTAGTTTTTTAAACCCTCAATTTTCATACAACTTTTTATTCACTGCATAAAGTACACCTAGGGTAGTTGGGATTGCCAGACTTTAATTATGAAAGAAATAAAAGGTTATAATTTTGCTTATATGAAAGATTTCTAAGTAAAGACTGAAAAAGAAATTTAACGTTACTTAAAGGAGAAAAGAAAAACAGTGATAAGTGCTACACTATATTTATTCAGCACATTCCCAGCAACTCAATCACCTGACCGTAAGTGTTGACTCTCAAGAAAGGGAAGGAGCTCTGGGCCCCTGAAAAGGACAATTCAAATACCAGGTAAATCTACTTTACTTATCCTCGACTCCTGACTGTCAGTCTACTCTTACTCTATTCACAACTCTAACCACACTTGGCTCCTTTATTTTCCAGTTCACACAAAATTAAAGGAAGCAAAGTAGAATGAAGGGATAGTAGTTATGGATGGAAAAAATAACAGTACTTTGTATAGAACCACAAAAGACCCCAAATAGCCAAAGCAATCTTGAGAAAGAACAAACTTGGAGATATTACACTCCCTGATTTCAAACTATACTATAAGGCTATAGTTATCAAAATAGTATGGTAGTAGCACAAAAACAGACACATTCTATACAATAAAAGCATAATATGCAAATTGACCAAATGGCTGAACAACGGAGCAACCATCCAGACGACCATCCAGGACCACGCTATGACACCCACTGGCGCCAGGCCAGCCAAGGCGGGTGCGATGCAATTGGTTGGGGGGCCGGCCATTGCCCCATGATTGCCCCACAGAAGGAGGCCCAGGCCACTGACTGGCAGGCTGTGGCAGGTGGGCAGGGTCTCCCTCTGTGAGGGAAGCCCGGGTCCTGGGTGCTGGAGGGAAACCAGTGCCAGCAGCTGGGGGAAGGAAGGCCTACTCTTGAACAAATTTCATGCATTGGTCCTCTAGTAGATAAATAAAACAGAATACAGAGATCAAAAATAAACCCATACTTATATGGTCAATTAATCTATGACAGAGGAGGCAAACATATACAATGGGGAAAAAGATAGCCACTTCAATAAATGGTGATTCAAAAACAGATACATGCAAAAAGAGAAAGAAAGAAACTCTTCCACTTTCTTATACCATATACAAAAATAAGCTCAGATGGGCTAACAAGTTAAATGTAAGACCTAAAAAATATAAAACTCCTAGAAGAAAACATAGGCAATAAACTCTTTGACAAAGGCGTTAGCAATATTTTTTGGATGTCTCTTCAGGCAAGAGCAATAAAGCAAAAATAAACAAATAGGACTACATCAAGCTAAAAAAGCTTTTTCACAGTGAAGGAAACCATCAACAATGAAACCTTCTGAATTAGAGATATTTACAAATGATATATCTGATAAGGGGTTAATATCCAAAATATATAAAGACTCATACAACTCAACATAAAAAAAATAAACAATCCAATTTAAAAATAGGCAGAAGACCTAATAGACATTTCTTCAAGAAAGACATACAGAGAGCTAACAGACATATAAAGATTGTTCAGCATCACAAACATCAGGGAGGTATCAAAACCTTACTGAGATATCACTTCACCTCCTGTCAAAATAGCTATTATAGAAAAGACAAAGTAACAAGTGTTGGTGAGGATGTGGAGAAAAGGGAACCCTCCTGTACTGCTGGTGGGACTGTAAACTGGTGTAGGCACTATGAAAAACAGAATGAAGATTCCTCAAAATATTAAAATTGAACTACCATTAGAAACCAGCAATTCCACTTCTGCGCATTTACCTCGAGAAATTAAAAACACTAATTTGAAAATATATATATATATATATATACATCCCTATGTTCACTACAGCATTATTCATAATAGCCAAAATAATGCAAGTAACCTAGGTATCCACTGACTGATGAATGGAGAAAGAAAATGTGATATATACAGGGTGTTCTCAAAAACTGCATACACGCTTTTTTTTCTGATAGCTGACTTGATGTTTCTTTCATTTTAGATTTAACCCATTGGTATTAAAAATTATTCAAAGTGTGCATACATTTTATTGGGACATCATACACACACACACACACACACACGAATATTATTATACAGCCATAAAAAGAATGAAATCTTGCCATTTATGAAAACATGAATGGACCTAGAGTGTATTAGCTGAGTGAAATAAGTCAGACAGGGAAAGACAAATACCATATGATTTCACTCACATGTGGAATCTGAAGGTCAAAACATCGATGAAGCAAAACAAAACAGAAACAGACTCAGAGATGCAGAGAAAAAACTGATAAATATCAGAGGGGAGAGGAGTGGAAAGAGGAACAAAAGGTGAAGGGGATTAGGAAGTACAAATTTCCAGTTATAAAATAAATAAGTCACAGGATGTAACGTACAAGCCGAGGGACCCCCGACCAATAGGGATACAGTCAATAATACTATAACTTTGCATGGTGACTGACAGTTCCTAGCACTGACAGGGCAATCACCTCACATGGCATATAGATGTTGAGTTGCTATGCTGTACACTTGAAATTAATATAATACTGTATGTCAACTACAATTTTTAAAAAGAACAAAAGCAAAATAATAGTACTGTAAGGTTATACTTGTTAGCTAAAAAAATATATATGAGAAAAACTATTGGAAGAATGGGACTATTCAGCAAATAAGCACAAAAACTGTAGCAAAACTGAAGTACCAGAGGATGGATCAGTTTCTAATTTAATGGCAAGTGCTACTTAGGAAAAAGAGATATATATGACTGATTTTATTTCTTTTTTTAAAAAGAATAAAATAAAAATATTTTAGGCTTAAAACTGTAAAGCTTCAGTTGAAAATTTATCAGCTGTATCCGTAATTAAACACTACTAGTTTTTCCACCTCACTTCCTCAATCATATTTGTTAAAATAAATGCAATGAAAACTCCATCTCTAATAGTTTATAGTTTCTCTATATCCAACTCAATGTTTTTTATATTAGGTTTCCTTCTCCCAACAACCAGCTCAACTTTAGATAACCGTGGGCAGTTAGATACTAATAGCCAGCAAGATAAGAACTCTGCAAACTCTTGCTTTGCATGTTCTTCATGAGATAACTGGTTGGTGATGACTCTTTGTAGGTGAACTTGGTCAGCTGATAATTCAGGGCCAGCACTGATACACCTACCACACAAAATAGTAACTTAAAATGCTGTGGATAAGTTACCAATTTTTGTTCAATATATACACTGCAAATAGATAAACTTGATCTTACCAACCTTCTTTCTACATAACAAAAAGTACATATCCTCTAAAGAGAAATGAAAATACATTTTTTTAAAAGATCACTTACCTCATCACTTTCAGGCTGTGAGAATACAATCGGCTGGCCTGTATCTGAAGCTTCCCTTATATTAAGATGTAAAGGAATATCTCCTAAAAGAGCCACCAGATATCCATTAGTACTACAAAAGTTTATATTGCATTTGGAATTTCACTATGTGAACTTCAGAAACAACATTTAAACTAAATTGATTCAAATCAACTTGAGTTATGATTATCCTAAAAATTGCTAAATCTCTGATCAAGGAATTTCAAATGACAATTAGGAGAAAATATTCCACTTCAGGGTAGTACAGTGATATATCTATATATACAAAAGCCTAAGGGACCGGTTGACCGATTGGTTGTCTGGTAGCTATGACATGCACTGACCATCAGGGGGCAGACGCTCAACACAGGAGCTTCCTCCTGGTGGTCAGTGCACTCCCACAGCGAGAGCGCTGCTCAGCTGATGAACAGGTGCCAGACACTGAGCTCATGGTTGGCGAGCACCGCTGCAGTGGCGTGAGCCTCTCCTGTGGAGACACCTCATGTGCACCCCTCCCCCATCCAGACCTGTACCAGCATTGGGACTGACTGGGTGTGAGCCCGCGGCTGCTTGGTCATGGGTGCACCAGTATTGCCCTAGGACGGGCGTGGAGACTGCAGCAGAGCAGCAGCGAGCCTACGGAGCGTTGGTGGCAGTCGGTACAGTGGGGCCGGGATGAGCAGGAGTGGCTTAGTGCGGCGCCTGGCCTAGGCTCAGGCTCCTCCCTGGCTGCCTGCTGCTTTGGCACAACTACATCCCCCAGGGGATGTAGGATTGTTGGTTTTGGCCGATCCCCGCAGGCCAAGCCGAGGGACCCCCGACCAATGCACAAATCCATGCACCAGGCCTCTAATATATTATATGAAAACTATGTGTCCACTCCTCATGGGGCCATGGTTTATTCTTCACTGGAGATCTTCCTACAAATGGTTTGGAAGACATCTGTAAATTATTTTTACCTGTAATACTTGGTATAGACAAAACATACCACATAATAAGAGGAAACTGAAGAGGAAAAGATGGGGAAGACAAAGTAATCCAAAAAAATAAAATAAAAGTACAATATAATCTTCCTGATGCTAGCAGACAAGTAAGCTAAGAGAACTATTGAAAAGTAGGCCAGACCTGTTATCTCAACTCCCTGTCTCTTATCAGATAGGATTACTTTTATTATATACTAGAGGCCTGCTTCACGAATTCGTGCACGAATGGGGTCCCTCGAGGCTTATTAGGGTGCTGGCCAGCCTGGGGTAGGGGCCCCAGGAGGTTACCTGGTCAACGGGGGGCAGGAGCCGCGGGAGATTGGCCAGCCATGGGAGGTTGGCTGTGGGAGCGCACTGACCACGAGGGGGCAGCTTCTGCATTGAATGCCTGCCCCCTGGTGGTCACTGTGCGTCACAGCAACTGGTCGACCAGTTTGTTCTGGTCGTTCAGTCATAACGGTCACTTAGGCTTTTATATATAGGTTAATCTTTTAGCATTAAAACTTGTGAGCTTGATGAGACCTCAGGACATATACAATGAGAATCTCCAATATGCAGACTTGAGGTCTGGGAGGATGTGTCTTGGCTGATGATATATTACCATTAGGTAGTGTAATAGGGGAAATGCTGGGATTCACCATCCAGCTGACTCTCTCCACCACACCATCACAAATGATGGCTTCCCAAATGCTGACATTTAAAAGGCAGCAAATGGAGCCTTAAGTAGAAGAGCTGACTCGTCATGGTACTCAGCATTCATAGAACCACTCCAAATCCATGGGAAGGTCATTGAAATGTGTGTATACACGTGTTTTATATAAATAAGTCATTCAGCACCATGCCAGGCAATGTAAATAATGCAGATTATATGTTACAACATTACAAACCTACTACAATTTATATTATGAAGTATGCTCCCCCTGTCAGCACATTTTGAAATCTTAACCCACTCTTTAAGTCTTTCCTAAGTGTTCAATAGACAAATGACAAAAATATATGAATATTTAGGTAACCATTTAAAGATTACCTTTTTAGTAAATTTGTGTCTATTCTACAGATCAACTAAGACTATAGGAAGTTGTCACAGGAACAGGCAGGGGAATATATGTTACAGAAAATACTTCGAAACTCATAAAGGTTTTTGCTCTTGACTTATGAACATGCTATTATAGTACTGGGAAAAATAGAAGTAAAACCTTCTCCTTTATACCACCCATTGACATGATCTTTGCCTTCCAGAAATTCACAATCCTCCCATAGATACAGAAACAGTAGATCAAAAAAGAGTAAAATCTTGTTAGAAAGTAGGCGGCATAGTGAGAGTGGTAAGGGGCCACAGCTGTATACAGAGAAGGATAAAAAGGAGTAAAGGTATGAAGAATGGCTAGGTCCGAAGGAAAGGAGGGCACATTTCAGAGACACAAGTTAAAGGGGTTTCTGGGAGATAACGTGAGCCTTAACTACCATGCATAAACTGTCCCTGTAGATAAATATGGATAAAGTTCTGAAAAGCCATTTTGCCAAATTCAAAACACAGCCCAATGGATGAAATAAACTGAGGCAGCCAGAGAGTCAGTAAGAGACCAATGAGGGTGCCTGGGGGCTTCAACCAGTCAGAGGCCATAGCAATGAGAGCTCTTTGTTTTATTTCAGTTTCTAATTTCCAATTCCAACTTCTCCATTATTGGAGGCCCTGCTCAAGTTCACGGGCACTATGTCTGGGCCCCCAGGACTGCATTAAAAGGAGGAGATGGCCCTGAACTGGAGCTCTAAATCATTCTCCCATACACTGTTAGAGACAGCAGTCTCTGGCATTATCCAGTTTTGAGATCAGTAATCAGTGTTGCTGATACTTTTTTAGTGTAACTATACATTTCTGAGCTGTTGGTTAAAAAATAACTTCCATATGTGAGATTGTTTCTCTAGGAGATGTTTCAAAGTCTAAATCACTGACTTACAAAACGGTACCACCCATTTATAAATTAGGGAATTATAATATTGTCAACATAATTCAATAATGCCATTATAATTACACATTTACTTTATTATATAAATGAATGTCAATCTGTTATGTTATTATGCAGATTTAAGAAACTGAACTTTTTAGGTTAAATGAAAAACAGTTGCAGAATATAATTAGTGACTATATTTATAAGAATGTATCAAAATATATCATTAGTATTCACCTGGTATTGTGGTGGTTGCTATGGGACAAATGCATAATAACAATAATACATTTAACATCAACTTTTAGAAACGTAATTATAATAGAGTATGTTTAGAAATTCCTTGATCTCTAAAGGGAACTTAATTGTAAACCATCTATAACTAATAACTCACTCTATGGCTCCCTTACTCAGCATCTAACGTCTGCCTTCCCCAGAACAGAAACTCATTCAATAAGCAAAACGTGTGTCCTATAAAGTTCATTAGGTTGCTTGTGGACCTTTTAAAAGTCATGTTTTATCAAAAATCTGTGTTTTATTCCATTAACACATGATTTCACTTCTCATAACACTAATTAATCCTTCAATTCAATAATATGAACAGTATATGCAATGTAAATTTCAAATGGCATCTCTTACACACATGGCAAACACATATAAGAAGATTCCAGAAAACAGAAAATATTGTCTTTCTAGAGCAGAAGAACTGATAAATTCAGAACTGATCAGGAAGGCATTTTTTCATATGCACCAAGAAGTGACACCCCCTAAGTTTGCTGCAACATAATGAACAGGTATTTTCATACTAGTATATACCGGTAAACTGAGAGATGTGTTCCCAGTGCAACAAACTAGTGACCATTAAAATGTGGGCTTCAATCCACAGACCACAAAACTCTCTTCTCAAATTCAAGTTATAAGCAGTTTTTATCAATAGCAGAAAGCATCAAAATTGGTAGAACAAACTTCCTTTTAAAAAGCCTTCCACAAATGAAGTATTATAAAAAAACAAAGAAAGCTTAGCACATAGAACTGCGCTAAACCAACTTAATTTAAAACACAAAGCCAAAAGCAATTCATCACTTTCTGAGACACTTTTCATCACCATACCCGATCTCTATTTTCCTTTCTACCATTTCCTCTGCAAAAGCATATTCCATGCCCAGCCAGCATGGCTCAGTGGTTGAGCATCGGCCTATGAACCAGGAGGTCATGGTTCCATTCCCAGTCAGGGCACATGCCCAAGTTGTGAGCTTGACCCCCAGTGTGGGGTGTGCAGGAGGCAGCTTTCAAAGATTATCTCTCATAGTTGATGTTTCTATTCTCTCTCCCCTTCCTTTCCTCTCTGAGATCAAGCAAAATATATTTTAAGAAAAGAATATTCTATGGTCTTACCTAGAATATCAAGATCAAGAATCTGTGCTAGTTTCCTTGCACCATCAGCACCAAAGATATGAGTCTTGTGTTTACATTTTGGACACTGGAAAACACTCATATTTTGAACAAGGCCCAGAACCTAAAATAATAAGAATACATTGAAATCAAAACAAAATTAAACCAAATCTCAATTCATTATTTCAATATTTTTACTGCATGACTACTGGTTTTAGTGATACAATGATGAATAAGCTAAGGTCTCTCCTCTCAAGGAACTCACAAGCTAGTGGGAGAGTAAAACACTTTAATTACATTTTAATAATGTGATACATGCTAAAGAGATATAAATGACAGGGATCAAAGATTTATACCTGGGAAGAATAAGAGGATCTCAGAGTTGCCCATAGAGGACTGTGTGTTCTGGGTCAGGGTGAGAATGGAGTTAAGGCTGTAGCAGGAATTCTAGGCAGAAGGAAGAGCACAAGCCTGTGGAATACAATGTGTGCAGCCTACGTGGGCTGCAACCTAGTGGGGGCGAAGGCAGAAGCTACTTTGGTAGGAAAGGTCAGGTTCGGATGGTAAGGTGTTAAATGCCTTCCATGTATTTGAGGCTTTTTTCTTGAGACAACAGAAAACCACAATCGTTTTTTAAAGTTGAGAAGACAGTAATGAAGAGGTAATGTTATGCAATCGGATCTGTGTTTCTGATGGCAATATGGAAAAAACAAGCAGAAGAAACACAGGAGAATAAGTAGTTAAGAGGTTAACTGTGGACAAAGTCTCATGGTAAATAAAAATCAACATTTAAGTGTTTGAAATACACTATCTTATTTACTCCTCAGAAGAACTTTATGAGATGGGTACCTTATCATCCACATTCAGTAGGCGATAAAATTGGCACAGCTAGCAAAAGAGTGAAACCCAGCTTATTAGAATATTATCATTTGAAACC